AACTTGGCACCTCAAAGGCGGTGGGACCAGACAACATCTCTCCGTGGGTCCTTAAAGAGGGAGCAGAGATATTGTGTGTACCATTAACAAAGATCTTCAACACATCATTTGAAACTGGGCAACTCCACGAGGTATGGAAGATGGCAAATGTAGTCCCAATTTCTAAAAAGGGAGACAGACATGAGGCAATAAACTACAGACCTGTATCACTAACGTGTATAGTATGCAAGGTAATGGAGAAGATCATCAGGAGGAGAGTGGTGGAGCACCTGGAAAGAAACAAGTGTATAATTGACAACCAGCATGGTTTCAGGTAGGAAAAATCCTGTGTCACAAACCTACTAGAGTTTTATGACAAGGTGACAGAAGTAAGACAAGAGAGAGAGGGGTGGATCGACTGCATTTTTTTGGACTGCAAGAAGGCCTTCGACACAGTTCCTCACAAGAGGTTACTGCAAAGCTAGAGGATCAGGCACACATAACAGGAAAGGCACTGCAATGGATCAGAGAATACCTGACAGGGAGGCAACAACGAGTCATGGTACGTGATGAGGTGTCAGAGTGGGCGCCTGTGACAAGCGGGGTTCCACAGGGGTCAGTCCTAGGACCTGTGCTGTTCTTGGTATATGTGAATGACATAACGGAAGGGGTAGACTCAGAAGTGTCCTTGTTTGCGGATGATGTGAAGTTAATGAGAAGAATCAAATCGGATGAGGATCAGGCAGGACTACAAAGAGACCTGGACAGGCTACAAGCCTGGTCCAGCAACTGGCTCCTTGAGTTTAACCCTGCTAAATGCAAAGTCATGAAGATTGGGGAAGGGCAAAGAAGACCACAGACACAATATAGTTTAGATGGCCAAAGTCTGCAAACCTCACTCAAGGAAAAAGATCTGGGGGTGAGTATAACACTGAGCATATCTCCTGAGGCGCACATCAGTCAGATAACTGCTGCAGCATACGGGCGCCTGGCAAACCTATGGATAGCGTTCCGATACCTCAGTAAGGATTCGTTCAAGACTCTGTATACCATTTACGTCAGGCCCATACTGGAGTATGCAGCACCAGTTTGGAATCCACACCTAGTCAAGCACGTCAAGAAATTAGAGAAAGTGCAAAGGTTTGCAACAAGACTAGTCCCAGAGCTACGGGGATTGTCCTACGAAGAAAGGTTGAGGGAAATCGGCCTGATGACACTGGAGGCCAGGAGGGTCAGGGGAGACATGATAATGACATATAAAATACTGCGCGGAATAGACGAGGTGGACAAAGACGGGATGTTCCAGAGATGGGACACAGACACAGGAGGTCACAATTGGAAGTTGAAGACTCAGATGAATCAAAGGGATGTTAAGAAGTATTTCTTCAGTCATAGAGTAGTCAAGCCGTGGAATAGCCTAGAAAGTGAAGTAGTGGAGGCGAGAACCATACATAGTTTTAAGGCGAGGTATGATAAAACTCATAGAGCAGGGAGAGAGAGGACCTAGTAGCAATCAGTGAAGAGGCGGGGCCAGGAGCTGTGACTCGACCCCTGCAACCACAAATAGGTGAGTACACACACACACACACACACACACACACACACACACACTCTTTCACACTCACTCTTTCACACTCTCACACTCTCACATTCACACATTCTCTCTCTCTCTCTCTCTCTCTTTTCTCTCTTTCTTTCTTTCTTTCTTTCTCTCTCTCTTTCTCTCTTTTTTCTTTCCTCTTTCTCTCTCTCTCTCTCTCTTCTCTCTCTCTCTTCTCTCGTTCTCTCTCTCTTTCGTTCTCTCTCTCTCTTTCTCTCTCTCTTTCTCTCTCACTTCTCTCTCTCTCTCTCTCTCTCTTCTCTTCTCTCTCTCTCTCCTCTCTCTCTCTCTCTCTCTCTCTTTTTTCTCTCTCTTTCTCTTTCTCTCTCTCTCCTTTCTCTTTCTCTCTCTTTCTCTTTCTCTCTCTTTCTCTTTCTCTCTCTTTCTCTTTCTCTCTTTCTCTCTCACTTTCTCTCTCTTTCTCTCTCACTTTCTCTCTCACTTTCTCTCTCACTTTCTCTCTCTTTCTCTTTCTCTCTTTCTCTTTTCTCTCTCTCTCTCTCTCTCTCTCTCTCTCTTCTCTCTTTCGTTCTCTCTCTTTCTCTCTTTCTCTTTCTCTCTCTTTCTCTTTCTCTCTCTTTCTCTCTCTCTCTTTCTCTCTCTCTTTCTCTCTCACTTTCTCTCTCACTTTCTCTCTCACTTTCTCTCTCTTTCTCTCTCACTTTCTCTCTCACTTTCTCTCTCTTTCTCTCTTTCTCTTTCTCTCTCTCCTCTCTCTCTCTCTCTCTCTCTCTCTCTCTCTCTCTCTCTCTCTCTCTCCTCTCTCTCTCTCTGTCACTCAGTCTCAGGTTTGATTCTCATTCAGTTTTATGGAGCCAGAGTTATGGGATTAACCTTTCTTGGTTCATGCATTGACCAAAATACATCTAGTTACTTTGGTGTCATTTTAAATGTACATTTCAATTCAGGTACTAAATGTAATTGAGGCAGGAATATTTTCATATCCTGTATTGAAGTACAGTACTGTACAGGAAACATATCTCTTTTAGATAAGATACATACCAGGGTACATTGGTTTTGTTTTGCAAATTAGGTGTAACTTTAATGCTTGGAAGCAAAGCAGATCCTTCAAGCAGATTTTTAATTAAGTTCGAGAGATTCTTGGATCCAGTTATCGTAAAAAATGAGATTCTGCAATTTCATGGTACAAAGTCTTTACTGCAAATAGGATGCTAGATAATGTTTTCACATATGATGTGACAGGATGGGTGGTAGTGTATATTGCAGCCATTAATTGTAGAAGTTTGGATACCACAAGCATTACTGGACCTACAAGCAGGGAATTGTCTGCAGTGTAGGGAAGGGTTGAAGAGACCTAAGAGAGGAGGTAGTGGATGAATTTAGAAGTAGGTAGGATAGAGCCACTGGGAGTAAGAGTTTTGTCACCAGACAAATGAAACCGAAGAGGCAGGCCCAGGAGCTTAGCTCAACCCTGAAATTACATCTGTGTGAATTTGCAAATGTATACCTTACATTTAAAATGGTGATTCAAGGTAAAAAAAAAAATGAGTGTAAATGTTCATAAAGATAAACATGTTTTGTAGATTATTATTGATATACTCTACTGAATTTATGTAATTTACTGCATGTTTCAGAAATTCCAAGTTCAACAAAGTGGGGAGATGCTCCTTCATTGCTCATGGGTACTCATACCTGGGAATACTCTGATGGAGATGTAAAGGTATAAATAAGCTTATTTATCACACATTTCTATTTCTGTCTCTTACACTTTCTTTTTGAAAAAGGTTATTTATCACACATTTCTATTTCTGTCTCCCTTACACTTTCTTTTTGAAATTAATATAGTTATCCAATATTGTACAGAATAAGCTTTCAAAATACATGAGGAGTTTTATCGATTAAAATATGGTAGACAGAAATTGTTTAGAAAAGTACTACCACCCTGTCATATGTGTGTGAAACTGAAACCTATTAAAAGTTTTATACTCCAGAAGGTTTGCTGGTCTGTCTTTGTCTCTTGAACATTCAAGATGACAGGTAATTCTCACAAACTTCTACTAGTGTTGAGTATACAGTACACACATCTTCATTTTATTATGTGTTTCTTAATCATTTGTATTTCAGTAATGTTTCCTTAGCTTAGGGAATCTGCTCTTGAGACCAGGCTGTGTGTGTGAGGGGGAAGCAGGGTACTGTAAACCCTTCACAACCCTTCACAGATACACACTTGGGTCCCTAAATTCATTGGTGCTATGTTCCTAAATGTCTCACAAATGCATATGATAATTTTTTTATATGACACATCGGTCATTTCCCACTGAGGCAAGGTGACCTAAAAAGAAAGAAAAAACTTTAATGATCATTGAACACTTTCACCATGACTCATACATAATCACTGTCTTTGCAGAGGCATTCAGACACAACAGTTTAGTTGTCCCTCCAAACTGCCAGTATCCCAAACCCCTCCTTTAAAGTGCAGGCATTGTACTTCCCATTTCCAGGACTCATGTCCTGCTAACCGGTTTCCCTGAATCCCTTCGCAAAATATTACCCTGCTCACACTCCAACAGTTCGTCAGGTCTCAAAAACCATTCGTCTCCATTCACTTCTATCTAACAGACTCATGCATGCTTGCTGGAAGTCCAAGCCCCTTGCCCATGAAACCTTTACCTCCTTCCTTCAACCTTTTTGAGGATGATCCCTACCCCGCCTTCCTTCCCCTACAGATTTATACACTCTCCACATTATTCTGTTATGTTCCATTCTGTAAATGACCACACCATCTCAACAGCCCCTCTTCAGTCCTCTGACTATTACTTTTAGTAACTCCACACCTCCTGATTTCCACACTCCGAATTCTCTGCATAATATTTACACCACACATTAGCCTTTGACAAGACATTTCCAGTCGCTTCCTCACTGCAGCATTTACATGCCATGCTTCACACCCATATGTAAGTGTTGGTACCACTATACTCTCATACATTCCCTTATTTGCTTCCATGGATAACATTTTTTTTGCCTCCATAGATATCTCAATGCACCACTCACCTTTTTTTCTTCATCATTTCTGTGGTTAACTTCATCCTTCATAAACCCATCCTCTGATAAGTCAACTCCCAAATACATATCTGAAAACATTCACTTCTTCCATACTACACCCCTCCAATGTAATATCCAATTTTTCTTTATCTAAATTGTTTGATACCCTCATCACCTTACTCTTATCTGTGTTCACTTTCAAAATTGTTGACAAAATGCATTCACCTTGAAAACAGCCCACAAGAGAAAAATGGTTGTCCTTTTGCCATATTTTTAAATGCATTTTCACAAGAAGGGTGAGTTCAAAACATTGTTAAAGGCAGTAAATAGATCGAGGTGATTTTCAGAACACTTCCATAGCAGGTTTGATTCTTTTATCATGTTTTGGCCAGAGAGTAGATCTCTCCCACTTGTAATATTAATGCATTCCTGAAAATTATTCGTAAGTATTATTTAGAACTCAAAATCAGTTTTTCCTGTAGACACCCAAGTGATAATGAAAGATGTATTCCTGAACTATAATATTCTCTATCTAGTTTCATAATTTTTTTTACAAAATATTACTTTTTAGCACACTGGTTATCTCCTTCTGAGTCACGGTGACCTGTAAAAGAAATAATTTCACCTTCATTAAAGACGAGAAAGTCACAATGATGTGACTGGAACAGTACACATAACCTGCACTTAGGGGAGAAGTGGTTATGACGATGTTTCGGTATGACTTGTTGATGGTCCAAGCTGAACCAAATTGTCAAAAGTTGACAGTTATTCATGGGATTTTGTTCAGAATATGCTCATTGAATTTTCCATTTCCAAATCTGCTTTCTTTTCTTTCTTTTGAATGTCAGTATAAACCAGTTTAGAGTGATCGTTAAAAAGATAATATACTTAAAAAAAACAAACATAAGTGAGCTTGAACAGTGTGTTAAAGAATTGTTTAATAACAACTGCAGCACCATTTTCTAATGCCACATCCTGTGTCCTCCATGGCTATAACTGTTCCTGCACATCGGAAGAGTGAGTCCTGAGTTTGTAAGTCATTAATTGGTTCCAAAGTGCCAGTGTCATAAGGGAGGAATATCATTAGTTCAAGCATTGTAAGTCAGGAACCTACTGTATACTCTACTCCCAAAATTTCAGTCTATGAATAGATTAACTTTTTCATGAGTTTTTCTTGTTGCCCACTATTTCTAGGCTTGGCACACATACCCCAAGTTGAGAACTAAATAATGCTTAAATCTGTTTTCCCTCTTTGTTTCTTCATCATCAAAATGAATTCAGTGCTATTAGAATAATATTTAACCCGTTCACTGTCCTGAACCCCAAAATTAAAATTGCTTTCAGCATCCACTTTTTTTCATTATCAGTTATAAGAGTACATTTTTTGTTGGTAATAAAAAATTTCCCGTCAGTACTTGCCGAGATATAGAGCCATCAAGTTAAAGACTTTATGACCTGCTGACGACAACATCAGTGATTGCCACATACTCCACGTTTCTATTTCATTATTTTTCTGGGGTTTTCTACATTTTGCAGTAAATTTTTTGGCCAATGAGACCCATATCATGCACAGTGTACATATATCCACCTGTTTTGTGCAGCACAATACCTGCACTATTAGTGTCATCAGTATATTTACAAAACATGTTTACACAACAATATAAACACACACACACAGAGGTACAAAAGTTTTGCATTAGTACTGTTCTAACATTTGTGTACATATATACAGGCACTGGTCATGTTCCTAGAGCTTGCAGTCTCCAGAAGTCCTTGAAACACAGCTCCATACACAGCAGTGTTTTACACTCTACACATAAAATGTGTGTGTCTGCACTATGGTGGAGGCCTTGTTTTGTGTGCACAAACATAACATCTATTCTGAGCTCAGTTCTTCTTTTCTGTAAAAGGAAGTGATAACCAGACTTAAAATAAAAGGGTATTCGCTGATCATCTTAATTTTTGTGCAAGAAAGGTATAAAATACCGACAATATGAAAGTTAAGACACATGTGCAACATGTTGCATGTTGCACATGTGTCTTAACTTTCATATTGTCGGTATTTTATATTCCAGATGTTGCACATGTGTCTTAACTTTCATCTTAATTTTTGTTGGAAGTGTCACTGGAGAATAAAACTTGTTCACTTTGCCTGGGAGTGAGGCCTCTGGATCCCCACAGCATGGTGAACAAAGTGTATTAAATATGGCATTCCTACAATTCACTGCAGGGGCCCCGATTTTTTTTGTATACTGCACACACTAAAAGTGTAGACCTGTTCTCTCATATATAGGCCTACCAAGTCTCTTGCACCAAATTTGAGGCTGCTAGAATTTGTGCATAGATCTACGTGAGGACCCCTGGCATCAGTAACGTGACGGCTGTTGAAAGGGTTAAGAGAGATGGCCTCTGAAACTAATGTCCCATATCTGAAACAAAATATAAGTCAACATAATTTTTTATTATTTGTGGATTTTTAGATTTGCAGGTTCTTGAAGAATGTAATTTCCCTTGTAACCTGTGAATTTGGAGGTCAACTGAATTAAGCATATGCAGAAACAGACAACAGATGAATTTTTGGGCACATCTGGTAGAATCTCCATCTATCACCCGTGTTTACTGAGGGTTGATTCCTATATAGTTATTCCCTCATATTATAGTTGTCTCTAGCAGAAGTGCTAAATTTCTTAGTATTTGTTGATGTGTGTTTGCATGTCTTTGTATATGTATAGATTTTACATAAAGTTGTTAGTTAAGAATAGTGTTTGTTACATAACATTTTTATTTTGTTTGCAGTAGTTTCTTAAATTTTGTTTGCATAGCTCATAATTTGTTTAGATAAATTTTCAGCACTTAATGATCAGTTGTGTGTGCATGATAGAACTGTTTTACTCAGCTCTTTGACAAGGTGGTGTGTGCAGCTGTGTATGACAAAAGCCATGGACTTGATGGCTAATTTATACATAAATATGGATTTATCAAGGCTAATAATGCTGGCAACTTTATTGAAGCTTTGTTGCCAGGGGTAAGTTAGGCAATGCTGATATTATCGGTTTCAGCTATCTCAAGTTATTAGAAAATAGTCCATGTAGTGAATGAGGTGTAATTTTTATAGTATAAATGTTAAATACATACATGCTATTACTGTTTATGCACTTAAATTTAGATAATAATACTAAATTAAACTTGGCTATACCCAGCTATGCTCATCATCAAAAGTGTGATGGATAATTAACTACTTTTTTCCAGCCACTAATAGTTGGCACTCATGCACTTGGTGTTCAAGCAAAGGAAAGTAAAAATCCAAGCAAACCAACAAGCCTAACAGTTGGAGGTGTGAGTGTATCCATAACTGATTCAGTAGGCAGTAATTCCTCGGCTTATGGGTTGAGTGACATTTCTCTAAATGCCAGTGCTGAAGTCAACATGTCAAGTGCCCACACACAGTCCACACCAACACTACACCAACCTACCACATTGACTGTGACAAAACCTAAGTTCCAGGTGAGTTAAAATGTATTTAATTTCCTTACAATCATGCAACTGTCATAAAAAATGGGAAGGTTGGTTGAAAAAATGTAAGTAAATAAGGAACTACTGCAAAAAAAAAAATGCATACTGAAACCAGTGAAGTTTACATTGAATAAAGTATGAAATAACAGAACAAACTTTTTTAATATCAAGAATTAATAAAGGAAAAATGCTTAAGCAGAGGTTCAGATTAGTGCAGAAATGAGCACATAAGACTGATTCAAGAACCACAAGTGCCAGAAATATAATGATGTGACTTACGTTGTGTAACAGAGTTGTAAACTCAAATACACTCGCTATAACCACTTATTCTAGTACTTGTATCTTCTTTTGCTACATCGTAAAACAATTAGCGAGTGCCATTTCTCCTACTACATTGTATCCATTTAAAATTATAGCCTTAATAAACCTTATCAGTGTCAAACGTGCATTTCAGAAACTGAATGTATAAGAATATTGAGAAATTCTGGTGCTATACAGTAAGTTATTTTTGAGATGGTATTCATTCTCCGCCAGTGTGAATTAGAGGTAGAGCTCTTGTTACACATTGTTCTACCATTTTTCCACCTTGCACTCTTCAGCATAGGCAGAAACCTGCATTTCTAAAATGGTTCTCTCATTAATAGCATTTTGTGCTAATCTGAATATAACATATAATAAGCTAACAGAAAGGAGGGGTGTTAATGTTGCAGTTTAAAAACTGTAGTGTAAAGCACCCTTCTGGCAAGACAGTGATGGAGTGAATGATGGTGAAAGTTTTTCTTTTTCGGGCCACCCTGCCTTGGTGGGAATCGGCCAGTGTGATAATAAATAATAAAAAAGCTAACAGAAAGAAACGAGGGATGAAATAAATAAGAATTATTTGACAAAAATCATTCATTTGTTGTTTTTTGTATTGAGCATAATTTTTTAAGAGCTTGCAGAGAGCTCACCCTACTAGAAAATCCGTGTCTTGCAGATGTTGTTCGTGGATCACACTCGTATTCATTCATTAAACAGGAATGATGTCATAAAATATGAAGTGTTATTAAATATAAAAATTAAGATGGCTGGGAGTGACCACTAAGGTGTTGCATATACACTCCATTGTGAAAGCTTTGCAGTAATGCAAACGTGTCATGTAAGATACACAATGTAAGAGCTTTTGTCTTGCATGTGTTACACTCTTGGCTTGATGCTTCTTATATAGTTATTTTGTTAAGTGCAGTTATGGGTGGGTAGTGGTTTATGTTGTAGCTATTACTGTGTAAGCTATGTGACCTACCAGTCTTATTGCAAGTTAGTTTTAAAATATTGTTAATGATGGACTTGAGTTTAAATGCTGATAAACAACAAAGCTTGAACACATGAGACTAAAACTGTGCTTTTGCTAAGCTTACAAAATAGCATTATAGTTGTGCTAATTTTAAATAAGTCCCCTAGACATTCTTAGAAACTGGCATGCTTGCATCCCATTTTCTTGTTCTTTATTTAATTTTTTATGGGTCTTTCAAATATAATCTCATTTTCTTCATAGACTTGTGCATCTTTAACCAGATTTACTTTTCACTTAATTTTTCAGAACAAATGAATTGAATAGCTTTGTAGTTCTCATATTTCTCTCCTGGGTTTGAAAACAATTCATTCTTTAGTAAACAGTGAATAGTGGGAAGTACAGCAATATGGGAGCCCATGACAGCCATCTCAGTGAGGTTGGGGGGAGGGGAGGTGGTTTTTATGACAGCCAGCTTAGTAAGGGTTTTGGGCAAGGAGTGTTCAAGGTGCAGTTTGTGATATTGATCATTGTTTGCACAAGTGATTTTTAACTTTGTGGACAGGGGTATTGCCATAACTGAAAGCTGTTGTTAGGTTACTGCCATAGCCAAAATGATTCAAGGTATTGGCATAACTAAAAATGGTATGTACATGTGCATTTTATTTGTATGAGATGGGGGCATTTCAGCCTGATTCCTTGCTTTATTTTTGAATAGGGTTATTATAGAGGTGATAAGTATGAAGAGTTGGGTAGTACAGTATCTTTAATAATCATGACTTTATCTGTATTACTTGTGTTACTGGGAATTGAGCTGCAGTTCTCAGGCTTTACTGCTCAACTGAAAATCAACTAGTATGATTTACCGAGCCATGTGGGCTTTGTCATAATACAGTACAGTGGACCCCCGGATATTGCCCAAATCAGATTTCGGCTGCTTTTTTGGCTAAAATTCTGCCCTGGATTTCATCCGGCAACTTGAAATCAGCCGTATTGGATGCGTAATAATAATCACTCTTGGGCACATTAAATGTCTTATTTTAGGTTAATATAGACATTTTCATTAATCCATCTATCATATTTTTTCAAATTTATATAAGAAACACGTTACATAGCATATAAACATGCAGTGTTTATATGCTGTTGAGTGGAAAGTCGGGTGGAGGGTAAACATTGTTTTCTCTGATTCAGCATTAGAGAAAACTGTGAATCTGGCGTCTGGCCTAGTCACCACCCTTCATACGCATTTGCTTACAATTCTTGGCATGAATTATTCATTACTTCTCCCTTTGTTTACGATGGCATCTAAAGGTAGTTGTTAGAAACGATTAAACTCATTGAACATGATATGTCGATGGTAATAATATGGCCGTGTGGTGTAGCCCAGGGGGGCTACATAGGTGTACATACATCTGCTGCTGCCTACACTGACTTCTTACAAATAAATACTACTCACCTCTCGCCCTACATTAAGACTGCAAATATTTTAAGGTAAGTAATGAATGTACTGTGGCAGTAAATGACAAAGAAGGGAAGTAACACTAGAGAGAGTTTTGATACCTAAAGTCCTTATAGAGGGGGATTCCCAACTCCCTCTCCCCTCCTCGCCTTCTTCAGTATGCCAACAAGAGCCTTCAATAAAGGTATGTAATGTTCATTTATCATTAAAGTTAGTGCTTTATATTTCTTTCTCATTGTTTTCTATATGTAAAGCTATAGTTTTTTTTTTTTTTTTTTTGGGGGGGGGGGAGGTGTCTAGAATGGATTAATTGGATTTATATTATTTCTTATGGGAAATATTACTTCAGTTTTCGGCCATTTCAGATTTCGGCCAACCTTCTGGAATGGATTATGGCCAAAAACCAGGGGTCTGCTGTATTTATATTTGAACTAATGCATTGAATTGGCATTTAATACCTCCTTCCTAATTCATTCCATGTATTGGAAGCTTCCTTGCCTAGTCTAACTTAAAGCATCACAATGCCATGTGTGATATTTAATATTGCCTCGGAATATGATTCAAGATTCAATTGCTAAATATGTACTTTAAAATGAACAGTGTTATGATGAGTATTTTCAAACTTTTTTTGTATGTTTTTATTTGTTTCTTTATATATTTTACAGAGAAGGTAACTAAGAATTGTCTTCCTTTTTGACAGAACCTTTCCAGCAACAGCTCTGTTGGGACTATTGGAGCACCTCCTCCAAAATTGGTCCGTCCCCAGTCCAGGCAGTCTCAAAACACTGTTAAAATGTGAGCTGATACATATTCTTTGTCAGTAATAACTTTTTCTTTTGAATTCAAATGTCACTTTATCTTATTATAAAGCATTAAATTAACTGAGTAGGCATTGATAATATATTTCTGTGGTCCCATTCCATGCAGAACCTGTAAGAATGTTAATCTCAAGGTAGATCTAGTATACCAGTAAATAAGACTACTATCACTTTTTATCTAGTAAGTCACCTCCACAATTCACCTTTGCTGTCTATATCACTGTGCAAACCCCCATCTCAGCACTAGTAGGCTGTATTGTTTGGCTGTGTACAAACATCACAGCAACATTGAGAACATCACTTGAATAAGTGGTGGATCTACCTGCTCCTCTAGATTAGAGGACTGACAAATATTCTTATTACATGTCACATAGACTGTGGCTGTGTTTATGTAGAAAAGCTTATTCAGTATGCTTAGCTGAAACAGTATGGATGTAAATACCAACAGAGGTGAGTGGTGGTTAATTTGATGGTTCATACTGCATTGAAACAAAGTTTGACTACTTAATGACTCATCAGCTCAGAATATATTTCTAATCGTGTCTTTCAACTTCTGGACTGGATGAAATGATTTTGGGAGAATTGGAGACTAGTGGTAGGCTTTCCTCACAAGCTGACATGGGGAAATCTCTTCCTTGCCAGTTTTGAGCAGCTCACAGCTGTTTCTGTTGAAACTCATCTTCCACATCTCTAACCACAGTGTCAGCCTATCCAGATGACTCTGGATACTCCAACAATTTGCTTTAGATGCTGCATTTTTTACAATTTAGTTTCTTTCACAAATTTTGTTTTTTTTAAACTTTCATTTGCACTGTGAATAGGTATGCTTTTATTGTGGCCATGAATCTTCACTAGGGATAAAAGCCTTCTGGAAATCTTAGATATTCTACATCTGTTGGGACCTTTTTCATCCTCTGGCAAGATAGTGATAGTGTGAATGATGGTGGAAGTGTTTCTTTTTCGGGTCACCCTGCCTCAATGGGAGACGACCAGTGTTAAAAAAAATTTATTGAAAATTTTAATAAGTTAGTCATATACAATCTTTTTGTTGCACAATTAATGTTGGTTTCCAGTTATTATTTCACAGAAAATTAACTGTCTTGTCTCTAATAATATTCTCCATTTGTTTACCTAAAATTAATGTTCAGCTAATGGTATGATAGTTGAGGGCACATGTCTTAACCCTTTTTAAGTATGAGGTAACATTTGCTAGTTTCCAGCTTATTGGCACTTAATCTGCTAATGAGCAATTAGCTCCTGACAAACAAGTATACCCTGTCACCACTCCAAATCCTGGGAACATGGTTTCCACTTTGACCCCCTACATTTTAACATACATGATTGGACATTCAAAAATCATATCCATCATTGACTTTGGTCCTGGAAATGGGGTAGGGGTCGTCCTTGAAAAGGTTGGAGGGAGGAGGTAAAGGAGGTTTTGTGGGCAAGGGGCTTGGACTACCAGTAAGCATGTGTGAGCGTGTTAGGAGTGAATGGAGACGAATGGTTTTTGAGACCTGACAAACTGTTGGAGTGTGAGCAGGGTAATATTTAATGAAGGGATTTAGAGAAACTGGTTAGCCAGACTTGAGGCCTGGAAATGGGAAGTACACTGCCTGCACTTTAAAGGAGGGGTTTGGGATATTGACAGTTTGGAGGGACTTCTAAACTGTCATATCTGAGCACCTCTGCAAAGACAGTGATTATGTATGAGTGAGGTGAAAGTGTTGAATGATGAAAGTATTTTATTTTTGGGGATTTTTTTTTCTTTTGGGGTCACCCTGCCTTGGTGGGAGATGGTTGACTTGTTGGGAAAAAAAAAAATATATATAAACTAAAGCTACTTTCTGTTGAGGTTTTTGTACTATAGTGTCTGCCGTCTTCCTTTGTCAGCTGTTCATCATCAGGCTCTTCTGACTCAGTTTTGAAGCTTGTACAGTTAGCAAATCTGACAACGAAGGAACACATATGTGCACGAGGAGGTAAATAGATGTCTTACTGGGCAAAAAGGGATGATAGTCTGTTTACTGGTTCATTAAGTCTCGACATGTCTGTACAGTAATCCTGTATGTAGTTCATGAAACCCTTGATAGACTTTTTTTTTCATACTTCGAAACATGTTAATCTTGTTTTATGCATGCTGACAAATTAGTTAGTTTTGCAGAAGCTAAATTAAGAAAGAGAATCCTTAAGCAAACAACTGATAATAAAATGTGTTGGTTTGCACTCTGGCAGGTGTACATAATAGACATTCTTATAATTTCTCTTACAAAAATGTTATTTTTCTATGTAATTGTACTTAACCTTAAAACCATTGAGTGCTTGATAATAATAATTATGTGTAAGATTGTTTTTTTTTTTTTTTTACTCATTTTACAGGGGAAATCAAGGTTCTGTAGTCAAAGATGATAGTGTCACAATCACCACATCTTATAAGAAGCTCATTGAGATATGCAAGCAACGGATTGGCAAGGATCATACATCGTAAGTTTAATCTTTCGTCACACTATATATTGATGCATTTTCTCTAGGAGTTTCTTATCCGTGAGTGGGTGGCCACATGTATATATTTTCCAGACAGCCCAGTGATTGGTATATCGTATTTTAAGGCAAACAAGACGCTCTGGCATCAAGGATGCCTTCTCCCCCCATTCTGATAGGCTAAATTTTGGAAAAAAATGGTAAATGGTACTTCGTATTCCAAGACACTGGGTAAATTTTCAAGACTTATTTCAGAGAAAAATAGTGTTTTCGATGCCGTAAAATATGGTTGTTATGATTAAAAATTATAGAAAGTTTGGCACAAGACAGGTTGATAAATAGGGGTGTAAATTGAGTGGATGTAAGGTGTTGAGGGCACATGAGATTGAGTTGGAAGAAAAGTATGAAAGAAATATTTGTGGGTAGGGGCTTGATCATTTAGTAGACTTGTTACATCAGGATGGGCAAGGGCTGTTGGTTAATGCAATTTGACATGATATTGCAGTTTGAATAATAGTATAATACTATTGAAGAATAAATCACAGTATGATTACTGGAACAATTCTCCAGTTGGCCCTGAACCTGTCGAGTTAAATGAGAGACGAAAGAGGTGATAGTCAATACTTTAAATTGGCTTTCTTACTGCTTGATAATGGTCCATTTTGGAATGAAACATTGCTTAGTTTCCATTCCCAGTTTATTGATTAGTTTTGAATAGTTATGAGTAATGGAAGTTGAAAAGTACAGCTCTTGTACTTCAAAAGTGGGTGGAGGGTGGAGATGTTGCAGTTGAATAGGTTAACATGGTTCTTTAACCCTTTAAGGGTTGGTGCCGTACTAGTACGGCTTGCATGCCAGAGTTGGTGCTGTACTGATACGGCTTGCGCACCAGGGTTGGTGCCGTACTAGTACTCATAAATTCTAGCGCCTTCAGATCTAGCAAGAGAAAGCTGGTAGGCCTATATGTGAAAGAATGGGTCAGTGTGTGCAGTACAAAAAAAAATCCTACAACACATAATGCATAATGAGGAAAAAAACTCTGACTGTGTTTTTGGTTTAAAACAGCGAGTTTGCAGTGTATTTTCATGTGGTATTTATGGATGTATTCTTATTTTCTTGGTCTCATTTGATAGAATGGACGATGTGTTACAAAAATAGAGATGATTGTGATTGGTTTCACGATGACAAGTACCTTGAAATTGAGCTCAAAGTAGCGAAAATGTTCGATTTTTGCTGATGTTCAAGTAAACAAATCACGCCATGCGTCCAATACATGTCAAGTGGTGAGTTTAGTATTCTCTCACAAATGCGCTGATATTATTTATACCGTTTTTACAATGATGCAGTAGTATACATAACAGTAAATCTTCTATTTTTTGTGAGAATAAAAATTCAAAATGGAAAGCAAGAGGGGCCTGGAGACATGACTAATGAACAGATAAAATGTTATTTTAGTGCCAGGAATGTCTGTCTTGTTTATTCTGGACTATTTTGAAATTGGCATCTTTTGAAATTTGTGTGAAATTGGCCAAATTGCCAAATTCTGACCACATTATTGAGTAGTTGAAATCGGTAAATGGGTGGTTTCTTGTACTCAGTCGATAGAACAAATGGAGTTCTAGCAAAATAGCTATGATTTTAGTAGACTGGAACATTGGAGTTGGCCAAAAATAGGGCTCAAAATGAGCGAAATCACCAATGTGTAAATCTCGTCAAGGCCGCTAACTTTGCAAGAGCATAATTCCATAAGTTTTTCATTAAATTTCATACTTTTGGTGTCATTGCGATCATAAAAAGATTATCATTTCACAGGATTTTTTGGGGGGAGGGGATTTTTTGACCCCTAGAACCAGTTTGGGAGAGGGCCTCTCAACCCTGAAAGGGTTAATGTATGGGATTCTATGAAAGATGTTAAAGAACTCATAATGTTTACTACCTTTCCTCTGCCTTGAAAAATACCTGAAGAGTTTAAGTATATCAAATATGTTTTTATCTTCAGGGGAGGAGATATTTCAAGGAGCAATTAAGTAATTTGTTAAAATAGTTTTGTATTACAGTTTGGCAGTCGTTATGGAGCTGTTACTACCCTTAGTGTACAGTTATGATTGTCTCAGAAGACTATAGGATTGAGGAACTGGAAGAAAACTAAAAAGAAAATGCAGATGAGCACAAAGAAGGAAGAAAATATTACCTACTACTGAGTGGTGCTGCAGTGTAAATGTACTATTTAAAGAACCATGAATAGGAGGCAGGCTATCCTTTACAGTTTTCAACCCCCAGAAGGTAATACATCTACAGACAGCTGATACCACAAGAAATGGACCTGATGTGATTTCTAAAATTTTGTGCAGAAGATTAAGCTGTCCACTAGTCAACTTTTGAGATATCATTACAAGTATATATGCTGATCATCGAACTTGGTTTTGAGAAAATTGGCTTCAAAGTTTTAATTCCACTGGTCTAAAAATTTTGAATGGTTTTGTGCTTCGGTTTACAGGGTGCTGAAAAGGAGCACGACTGTAGTAGTCGATTAGCTAAAGTTTCAAAGGAAATTTATTTAGACATTTATTTACACAAAGGTAGTAGGTTGGTAGACAGCAACCACCCAGGGAGGTACTACCGTCCTGCCAAGTGAGTGTAAAATGAAAGCCTGTGATTGTTATACATGATGGTAGGATTGCTGATGTCTTTTGTCTGTCTCATAAATATGCAAGATTACAGGTATGTCTTGCTACTTCTACTTACACTTAGGTCACACTACACGTACATGTACACATTTATTTATACACACTCATCTGAGTTTTCTTTGATTTTATCTTAATAGTTCTTGGTCTTATTACTTTTCCTTTTATATCCATGGGGAAGTGGAATAAGAATCTTTCCTCCGTAAGCCATGTGTGTTGTAAAAGTCAACTAAAATGCCGGGAACAATGGGCTAGTAACCCCTTTTCCTGTAAAGATTACTAAAAAGAATAAGAAGAAGACAATTGTCAAAGTGGGAAGTCTGAATGTGCGTGGATGTTGTGCAGATGATAAGAAAGAGATGATTGTGGATGTTATGAATGAGAAGAAGCTGGATGTCCTGGCTTTAAGTGAAAGAAAGCTGAAGGGGGTGGGAGAGTTTCAGTGGAGAGGAATAAATGGGATTAGGTCAGGGGTTTCAAATAGAGTTAGAGCTAAAGAAGGAGTAGCAATAATGTTGAAGGATAAGCTATGGCAGGAAAAGAGGGACTATAAATGTATTAATTCAAGGATTATGTGGAGTAAAATAAAGATTGGATGTGAAAAGTGGGTTATAATAAGCGTGTATGCACCTGGAGAAGAGAGAAGTGTAGAGGAGCGAGAGAGATTTTGGGAAATGTTGAGTGAATGCGTGGGGAGTTTTGAATCAAGTGTGAGAGTAATGGTGGTTGGGGATTTCAATGCTAAAGTGGGTAAAAATGTTATGGAGGGAGTAGTAGGTAAATCTGGGGTGCCAGGGGTAAATGTAAATGGGGAGCCTTTAATTGAGCTATGTGTAGAAAGATATTTGGTAATAAGTAATACATATTTTATGAAAAAGAGGATAAATAAATATACAAGGTATGATGTAGCACGTAATGAAAGTAGTTTATTAGATTATGTATTGGTGGATAAAAGGTTGATGGGTAGGCTCCAGGATGTACATGTTTATAGAGGGGCAACTGATATATCGGATCATTATTTAGTTGTAGCTACAGTTAGAGTAAGAGGTAGATGGGAAAAGAGGAAGGTGGCAACAACAAGTAAGAGGGAGGTGAAAGTGTATAAACTAAGGGAGGAGGAAGTTCGGGTGAGATATAAGCGACTATTGGCAGAAAGGTGGGCTAGTGCAAAGATGAGTAGTGGGGGGGTTGAAGAGGGTTGGAATAGTTTTAAAAATGCAGTATTAGAATGTGGGGCAGAAGTTTGTGGTTATAGGAGGGTGGGGGCAGGAGGAAAGAGGAGTGATTGGTGGAATGATGAAGTAAAGGGTGTGATAAAAGAGAAAAAGGTAGCTTATGAGAGGTTTTTACAAAGCAGAAGTGTTATAAGAAGAGCAGAGTATATGGAGAGTAAAAGAAAGGTAGAGAGAGTGCAAAAGGAGAGCAGATGATAGAGTGGGAGAGGCACTGTCAAGAAATTTTAATGAAAATAAGAAAAAATTTTGGAGTGAGTTAAACAAGTTAAGAAAGCCTAGGGAAAGTATGGATTTGTCATTTAAAAACAGAGTAGGGGAGTTAGTAGATGGGGAGATGGAGGTATTAGGTATATGGCGAGAATATTTTGAGGAACTTTTAAATGTTAAGGAAGAAACAGAGGCAGTAATTTCATGCACTGGTCAGGGAGGTATACCATCTTTTAGGAGTGAAGAAGAGCAGAATGTAAGTGTGGGGGAGGTACGTGAGGCATTACGTAAAATGAAAGGGGGTAAAGCAGCTGGAACTGATGGGATCATGACAGAAATGTTAAAGCAGGGGGGGATATAGTGTTGGAGTGGTTGGTACTTTTGTTTAATAAATGTATGAAAGAGGGAAGGTACCTAGGGATTGGCGGAGAGCATGTATAGTCCCTTTATATAAAGGGAAAGGGGACAAAAGAGCTGTGAAAATTATAGGGGAAATAAAGTTTATGGTATACCAGGAAAGTGTACGGTAGGGTTATAATTGAAAGAATTAGTGGTAAGACAGAATGTGGATTGCGGATGAGCAAGGAGGTTTCAGAGTGGGTAGGGGATGTGTAGATCAAGTGTTTACATTGAAGCATATATGTGAACAGTATTTAGATAAAGGTAGGGAAGTTTTTATTGCATTTATGGATTTAGAAAAGGCATATGATAGTGGAATAGGAGCAATTTGGCAGATGTTGCAAGTATATGGAATAGGTGGTAAGTTATTAAATGCTGTAAAGGTTTCTATGAGGATAGTGAGGCTCAGGTTAGGGTGTGTAGAAGAGAGGGAGACTACTTCCCGGAAAAAGTAGGTCTTAGCCCAGGGATGTGTAATGTCACCATGGTTGTTTAATA